ATAGAGTCTTTGAGCCTAGAAAGGACCTGTGTTTCTAACATGGAACACACACACTCACTTGTATACACACTAGGGTGACCAGATGTCCCGACTTTATAGGGACAGTCCCGGTTTTTGGGTCTTTTTCTTATATAGGCTCCTATTACTCCCCACCCCCGTCCCGATTTTTCACATTTGCTGTCTGGTCACCCTAATACACACACACACTGTCACACACACACTTTGTCTATTTTTTTCTTCATTATAACATCCTTTCAGGCCTTCCCCTTTGCAGCTCACATGTAATTCCTCCTTGCCAGGAAAGAGTAGGAAGTAGGTGTGGGATGCAGGGTGACAGCATCTTTCAGGGTACTGGTACTTTGCCTATAATGCATGGCTGGCAGGTTTGTAGAAATGTTGGTGGTGCCCAGAATCCGCCCCCCCAACTCCGCCCCCCACCTGCCTAAGGCTCTGGGAGGGAGTTTGGGTGGGGGGAGGAGGTCTGGGGTGCAGGTCCTGGGCTGGGGCAGGGGGTGGGTGTGCAGGAGGGGGTGAGGGGTGCAGGCTCTGGGACAGAGTTTGGGTGCAGGCTCTGGGGTGGGGGTGGGGGCGTAGGAGGGGTGAGGGGCGCAAGCTCTGGGAGGAAGTTTGGGGGTGGGAGGGGATGCAGAGGCAGGGGAGGGGGTGAACGCTCTGGGAGGGAGTTTGGGGATAGGAGGGGGTGCAGGGGTGAGGGCTGTGGGGCTGAGGATGAGGGGTTTGGGGTGTATGAGGGGGCTCAGGGCTAGGGCAGAGGGTTGGGGTGTTGAGGGCTGTGGGGCTGAGGATGAGGGGTTCATGATGCAGGAGGGGGCTCAGGGCTGGGGCAGAGGATTAGGGTGCGGGGGGATGAGGGCTGGGGCTGGGGATGAGGGGTTTGGGGCATTGGAGAGGCTCAGGGCTAGGGCGGAAGGGCAGGGTAAGGGCAGCCTGCCCTGCCATTAGCAGATGGGGGGCACTAGGACCCTGGGGCAGCAGACAGCAGTTGATGCCGGGAGCCGGTGTAGTGTGGATACGCTCTGCATAGGAATGTGCTACACCGGACGCGGCGGGGCGGGGCGGGGGGGAAATGTGCGGGGGGTGGCAGGCGGGGGCCGGGGCCCGCTCCAGGCAGGGCTGGGGGAGATACTCAGCTCCAAATATTGGTGGAGCAGGGCCCCCAACCCTGAATATTCCTGGAAAGAATATAACTCGCTGCCATGGTGATACTGCCCCAGCGTACCCAGGGTCTTTCTACCACCTGCCCTAAGTGTGAGGAAGTCTTGTCTGTGAATCAGGTCCCTGACTCCATCAACCTCTAGCAGCACAAGCCAGGCCTCCACAGGCCTCGCTGTTGGTACAAGTTAGCGATAGGCACATGCCAACCCTAAGTCCTCTGAGTGTCCCTCTGGAGTGCCCAGCCACAGACTGTGCCACTGACAGTCACAGAACTCTCAGAGCCACTGTTCCCAAAGCAATAGTACACACCAGCTGGCATGATTCAACTCAGACCCCCTCTGCTTAACACACAGCACTTACAGATATCTGCAGTGAAAACAAGAATAAGTTTATTATCCAAGACCAGAGAGTCAAGTGATGGAAAGTAAGAACATTAGAGATACATGGTTACAGATAAAACAAAATCATAACATGCTTTCGAAAGTCTAAACATAACTTGCAAGCCATTCCCCTGGTCTCCTCCAAGATAGCTTATCCCAGTCCTTTTCCTAGCATTTTCAACCAGTTTAGTTGAAACCCTTTCTCATAACACCAAGCCCAGTGGTGGCTTGTCCTCACAGACTGAAGGAATACCTGGGGGTTCATCTGCACCCCAGGTAGAGTTCCTTAAGTTCATCGTCTGACTCCTAAACAGTCTAGCTCCCGCTGGTTTTGTGTGTTCCCACAGTCCCCACAATGTGCTGATTCGTATGTTGGTCAGACTGTAAATGAGTGTCCATTGTGAAATGCACAGTACTCAGTTTGCAGGTGACCACTCAGAGTGAGATATGTGTTTCTTCTCCCCTGCTGGACAGGAGCATGCAAAGCATCTTCTGCAGGGGCGGCTCCAGGCACCAGCGCAGCAAGCGCGTGCCTGGGGCGGCAAGCCACGGGGGGCGGCCTGCCGGTCGTCATGAGAGCGGCAGTCAGGCAGCCTTCGGCGGCGTACCTGTGGGAGGTCCGCCAGTCCCGCGGCTTCGGTGGCAATTCGGCGGCAGGTACGCCGAAGGCGCGGGACCGGCACATCACCCGCAGAAATGCCGCCAAATCCGCATGACCAGTGGACCGCCCGCAGGCGTGCCGCCGAAAGCCACCTGACTGCCGTGCTTGGGGCGGCAAAAAACATAGAGCCGCCCCTGACCTTCTGGTGGCCTGCCTTCACTCAGAGACCTAGAGAACACATTGTTTAGTGTATACACCTAAGTCTTCACATCTTTTCTATACATACACCACACAAGGATTATGATGACCGGTGTGACCTAGACTTTCTCCTTGGCAGATTAGTATGTAGATACCAGACCCAGGGGATCTCTGCCACCCTTGAGCACCCCGTGCCCTCTGCCAGTTGGCATCAAGAGGTCCTTGGGTCCCAGCCCTCTCTGGCCGGTCCTGCACCCTCCTCGCCTCATGCCCCCCAAAGCACTCCTTCTCTGTGGTGTGTTCTCTGCACACACACCCAATGCATCCAGCAGGTTCATCAGCTAACCATAAGCCCCTGATTAAGGGGAGAGAGACAATTACCCTCATTTGTCTTGTCACTGTTCAGATCCAGGGCCTGGTTGATAGTTACAAGGAGCCACTTTGCCTCAGGGCTGCCCTGAGTGAGCATTCACCTCGTGTAGCTCAGTCCAGAAAGCCCACTCAAAATCTTCTGCTAACGAAGCTCCAGGTACCATCCTCCAAACCCCCATTATGCTGTATCTAGGCAACAAAGACTGCTGCTGCTCCAAAAAGGAAACTTGCGTTGAACATGTCCAGAGGCAAAGGGTTGTAAGCTGTGTTACTAATTAACCCTTGGGGCAGTGCCAGGGTCTGCATTTGATACCAACAAGGTCTCATGCATTATTAGCAGCCCAGACCATGAAAGTTCTTCTCATCTTCTCCCTAGTGCCTGCATTCAGGATTCTCCTCACAGCAGGAGGAACAGAGCTGGCAAAGGGCAGCAAACCGATTCCGTGGACCCCCATTTGTTCACCTCCTGCCCTCAAACTGCTCACCGCAAGTGAATGTCAAAGTTTCATGCAGGAATGTTAATTTTAAATGTGCATGGGTGAGCAGGCCAGCAAGCAACGCCTGCTCATTACCCAGCCTGGGAGCAGGAGCAACATCGTGTGGCTTATCTGACAAATCGTACCTCAGAAGCACAAGAACAACAAAATCCTCCTTAGCATTTATATCACACAGCACAGGCATTAAACGTTTCTCAGCTAGACCTTCCGTGTCCTGACTCCAACACTGCTATCTGAGGAGTCACAAATAACCATGGGGGGCTGTGGCGGTAGGGAGGTGGGATTTAATGAGGAGTAAATGAAGGATGGGATCAAAGAGGCTGGTGTAATAAGCAATTAGAATGGGAGATGCCAACTATCCCTAGCTCATGTGGGAACTAGTTTCCCAACACTTCACATCCTTGATCCTTGGAAGAGCAAGCTCCAGAGCGTACATGGAAACAGGCTGATCTCAGTTAAGGATTAAATAATACACAGGAATCAGTCCCAGAGGGATCCACCACGGAGGCACTGAATTCTAGTGACCATAGTCTAATTAGACAGAACATCCTTTGGGTAGGAAAGGTGCCAAAATCCAGCACAGTGACATTAAACTTTAGAAAAGATGGGTTCAAACAAAACCAAGGAAGCTTGTTAAACCCGCCCTAGGGTCACAAAGGGAGAGATTAAAACTCTTAGGCCATGTCTACACTACAAAATTATGTCAAGGTAAATTACAGCCACCGCAGTTATCACTTCACTTGTGCGTGTGCACACTACAGTCCTTGTGTCGGCAGGGTGCATCCTCACCAACAGTGCTTGCATCGATGCAGTTTGCCATGGGTAATATCCCACTGGGCAACTTTCCACCATCCAAGGCAGGGTGTTTTAGGAAGTTTTTGCAATGCTCGATGGGGCCAGAATGATTTGCGTGGGGGTGATTGGGAGCATGGGGTAAACTTCCCATAATGCAGTGATCTCATCCCATGATTTCATCTGCATCCCATAATATTTCACACCTTCTTTTCAAAATCTCCACAAACCTGCGTGTCCCTCCTTGCTGTTCAGCCTCTGTGACAGGAGCTTGGAGCCTGCACAGCTCTGCACTATTGTCATGAGTGTTGCAGCACAGGGTGCATGACCCTGCAGTATTTGCAGAGCCCCAAGAGGAGCCCTGGGGAACATGATGATTCCTTGGAGGCTAGATTGCTGTGGGACATAGAAAGAAACAATTCAAGGTTGTTGGCGGCATTCATGGAGCACCTGGAGTGTCGATTCCAGACACAAGGAACAAGCACTGACTGGTGGGATCGCATTGTGGTGCAGGTTTGGGATGATGAGCAGTGGCTGCAGAACTTTCAGATGTGCAAGGCCACAGTCCTGGATCTGTGTGCTGAACTTGCCCTCCAGCACAGGAACACCAAACTAAGATCTGCACTGACAGTGGCGAAGTGAGTGGCAATCACACTGTAGAAACTTGCCAGGCAAGATTGCTACCAGTCAATCATGAATCATTTTGGAGTTAGGAAATCTACCACAGGGGGCCATTGTCATACAATTGTGCAGGGTGGGGCCATTACTTGCTTCCTGCTAAGCAGGACTGTGACTCTGGGCAAAGTGCAGGACATGGTGGATAGTTTGCAGCAATGGGGCTCCCAAACTGCGGTGGTGTGATAGATGGCATGAAATCCCTTTTTTAGCACTGACCACCTGGCCATAGTGTACAAGTCCTGGAGAGCCCCATGCGCCGAGCGAGTGTCAGGGGATCCAGCCAGACTCCCCGGTCGTAGTCCAGGAGGTTGGTGCACCGTTCCTGGAGGTACTGCAATACCAGGTCGATGCGTGGAGTGGATGGAGCAAGCTCCTATTCCATCTCCCTGTTCCAAAAATCCATTTAATATATAGTCCTCAGATAGAGGACGTATCAGATATTAAACTGATAAGAACAGATACTACACATGATCTTAACCAAACTGAGTCCTGAGCCAGGCTGTGTCCCCTGCCTCGCTCATGCTCTGTGGAGATGGGGAACAGGGGCAGGGGGGAAGGGGACACCCTGACTTCAGCACCCCCTACCCTGCACAGCCAGCGGGATGGTCCCGGGAGCAGCTGCAGGACATAGGGGGAGGGCACCTGAACACATGCTGCTTGCTGTGCGCACGCTGCTATCAGTCGAGCGGCACTTAAATCTCTCCTGCGCAGCTGCTCAAGCGCGCAGCTTACAGGGAACACAGCTCACAAGGCTTTGCACAAAGATTATTAAACCAGTGTGCAAGGGGTGAATACAGGGGTACAGTCTGTCACAGAGTCACAATGAGAAAAGCTTGTGAGAAATTTCAGAGACCTAACCAAGTCAGGTGAATGGGCAATATGATGGCAGATAAACTTCAGTGCTGACAAATGCAAAGCAATGCACATCCGAGCAGTACTGGATTTACCATGGTGCCGGGCCCACGCTCCAAAGGGGCCCCAGCCCGGCCCGCTCTTCTCCGCTCTCTCCTGTGGGGGCAGTGGGCAGAAGCTTGATCCTGCCGGCTCCTGCTGCACCAGGGCAAGCTCCACCGGCAGCCAAGCTCCCCCTCCCCCGCCTCTTCCCCCAAGCGTGCCGCATTCCTGCCCCTCCCCCTCCCAGCACTTCCCCCGCCGCCAAACAGCTGTTCGCCTGCACGAGGGAGGGGGAGGAGAAAAAAAATCTGTTTGGCTGGTTTGGTGTGCCTTCGAGATGGAGAACCACCAGCCTGGGGCTGTGACTGCCCTGTTCTAAGCAATTTGTCCTGAATTGGTACTCTCAGTTGTGTCCCACCAAAGGCAGCATCGTTACACCTTCCTCTCATCAGCTGGCTAAAGCTGGCATTCAGCATGGAATGAGGCAGGGATGGTGTTGAAATCACAGAATGTGATCATGTAATTGAAGACTGTCTCATCATGCATACATACAAGTGGGCTGAACTAAGCTTGCCTTCACAAGCCACCTTAATTCTGGCATTTCTGCACCTTTGTGCTCGACTTTGCAACCTTAATGTTCTTTTCACATAATTTTGTTTAATGTAGTTGAGCCCTGGTAATGTGCTCTGTGTGACAGGGGAGAGATCATATATGGGACTTTTTGCTTTGGGGTGAGATTTTCCAAAGAGCTTAAGAACATAAGAACGGCCATTCTGGGTCAGACCAATGCTCCATCTAACTCAGTAGCCTGTCTTCTGACAGTGGCCAGTGCCAGATGCTTCACAGGGAATGAACAGAACAGGGCAGTTATCAAGTGATACCCTGTCGTCCAGTCCCAGCATCTGGCAGTCAGAGGCTTAGGGACACTGAAAGCCTGGGGTTACATCTCTGACCATCTTGACGAATAGCCATTGATGGACCTATTCTCCATAAACTTATCGAATTCTTTTTTGAATACAGTTATAGTTATGGCCTTCACAACGTGCCCAGCAACCAGTTCCACAGGTTGACTATGCATTTGTGTGAAAAGGTACTTCCTTTTGTTTGTTTTAAACCTGCTGCCTATTAATTTCAGTGGGTGACCCCTGGCTCTTGTGTTTTATGACAGGGTAAATTACATTTCCTTATTCACTTTCTCCACACCATTCATGATTTTATAGACCTCTATCATACCCCCTGTTAGTTGTCCCTTTTTCCAAGCTGAACAGTCCCAGTCATTTTAATCATAGAATCATAGACTTTAAGGTCAGAAGGGACCATTATGATTGTCTAGTCTGACCTCCTGCACAATGCAGGCCACAGAATCTCACCCACCCACTCCTGTATCAAACCCTTAACCTATGTCTGAGCTATTGAAGTCCTCAAATCGTGGTTTAAAGATTTCAAGGTGCAGAGAATCCTCCAGCAAGTTACCCATGCCCCACACTGCAGAGGAAGGCGAAAAACCCCCAAGACCTCTACCAATCTGCCCTGGAGGAAAATTCCTTCCCGACCCCAAATATGGCGATCAGCTAAACCCTGAGCATGTGAGCAAGACTCACCAGCCAGACACCCAGGAACGAATTCTCTGTAGTAACTCAGATCCCACCCCATCTAACATCCCATCACAGGCCATTGGGCATATTTACCGCTAATAGTCAAAGACCAATTAATTGCCAAAATTAGGCTATCCCATTATACCATTCCCTCCATAAACTTATCAAGCTTAGTCTTGAAGCCAGATATTTCTTTTGCCCCCACTGCTCCCCTTGGAAGGCTGTTCCAGAACTTCACTCCTCTGATGGTTAGAAAGCTTCGTCTTATTTCAAGTCTAAACTTCCTGATGGCCAGTTTATATCCATTTGTTCTTGTGTCCACATTGGTACTAAGCTTAAATAATTCCTCTCCCTCCCTGGTATTTATTCCTCTGATATATTTATAGAGAGCAATCATATCTCCCCTCAGCCTTCTTTTGGTTAGGCTGAACAAGCCAAGCTCTTTGAATCTCCTTTCATAAGACAGGTTTTCCATTCCTCGGATCATCCTAGTAGCCCTTCTCTGTACCTGTTCCAGTTTGAATTCATCCTTCTTAAACATGGGAGACAAGAACTGCACACAGTATTCCAGATGAGGTCTCACCAGTGCCTTGTATAACGGTACTAACACCTCCTTATCTCTACCGGAAATACCTCACCTGATGCATCCCAAGACCACATTAGCTTTTTTCACGGCCATATCACACTGGCAGCTCATAGTCATCCTGTGATCAACCAATATTCCGAGGTCCTTCTCCTCCTCTGTTACTTCCAACTGATGGTCCCTAGCTTATAACCAAAATTCTTGTTATTAATCCCTAAATGCATGATCTTGCACTTTTCACTATTAAATTTCATCCTATTACTATTACTCCAGTTTATAACATCATCCAGATCTTCCTGTATGATATCCTGGTCCTTCTCTGTATTGGCAATACCTCCCAGCTTTGTGTCATCTGCAAACTTTATTAGCACATTCCCACTTTTTGTGCCAAGGTCAGTAATAAAAAGATTAAATAAGATTGGTCCCAAAATCAATCCCTGAGGAACTCCACTAGTAGCCTCCCTCCAGCCTGACAGTTCACCTTTCAGTACTACCCGTTGTAGTCTCCCCTTTAACCAGTTCCTTATCCATCTTTCAATTTTCATATTGATCCCCATCTTTTCCAATTTAGCTAATAATTCCCCATGTGGAACTGTATCAAATGCCTTTCTGAAATCGAGGTAAATTAGATCCACTGTGTTTCCTTTGTCTAAGAAATTTGTTACCTTCTCAAAGAAGGAGATCAGGTTGGTTTGGCACAATCTACCTTTTGTAAAACCATGTTGTATTTTGTCCCAATTACCATTGACCTCAATGTCCTTAACTACTTTCTCCTTCAAATTTTTTTCCAAGACCTTGCATACTACAGATGTCAAACTAACAGGCCTGTAGTTACCCGGATCATGTTTTTTTCCTTTCTTAAAAATAGGAACTATGTTAGCAATTCTCCAGTAATACAATACAACCCCTGAGTTTACAGATCATAGAATCATAGAATATCAGGGTTGGAAGGGACCTCAGGAGGTCATCTAGTCCAACCCCCTGCTCAAAGCAGGACCAATTCCCAACTAAATCATCCCAGCCAGGGCTTCGTCAAGCCGGACCTTAAAAACCTCTAAGGAAGGAGATTCCACCACCTCCCTAGGTAACCTATTCCAGTGCTTCACCACCCTCCTAGTAAAAAAGTTTTTTCTAATATCCAACCTAGACCTCCCCCACTGCAACTTGAGACCATTACTCTTTGTTCTGTCATCAGGTATCACTGAGAACAGTCTAGATCCATCCTCTTTGGAACCCCCTTTCAGGTAGTTGAAAGCAGCTATCAAATCCCCCCTCATTCTTCTCTTCTGCAGACTAAACAATCCCAGTTCCCTCAACCTCTCCTCAGAAGTCATGTGCTCCAGCCCCCTAATCATGTTTGTTGCCCTCCGCTGGACTCTTTCCAATTTTTCCACATCCTTCTTGTAGTGTGGGGCCCAAAACTGGACACAGTACTCCAGATGAGGCCTCACCAATGTCGAATAGAAGGGAATGATCACATCCCTCGATCTGCTGGCAGTGCCCCTACTTATACAGCCCAAAATGCCGTTCGCCTTCTTGGCAACAAGGGCACACCGTTGACTCATATCCAGCTTCTCGTCCACTGTAACCTCTAGGTCCTTTTCTGCAGAACTGCTTCCTAGCCATTCGGTCCCTAGTCTGTAACAGTGCATGGGATTCTTCCGTCCTACGTGCAGGACTCTGCACTTGTCCTTGTTGAACCTCATCAGGTTTCTTTTGGCCCAATCCTCTAATTTGTCTAGGTCCCTCTGTATCCTATCCCTACCCTCCAGCGTATCTACCACTCCTCTCAGTTTAGTGTCATCTGCAAACTTGCTGAGAGTGCAGTCCACGCCATCCTCCAGATCATTAATGAAGATATTGAACAAAACCGGCCCCAGGACCGACCCTTGGGGCACTCCGCTTGAAACCGGCTGCCAACTAGACATGGAGCTGTTGATCACTACCCATTGAGCCCGACGATCTAGCCAGCTTTCTATCCACCTTATAGTCCATTCGTCCAGCCCATACTTCTTTAACTTGCTGGCAAGAATACTGTGGGAGACCGTATCAAAAGCTTTGCTAAAGTCAAGGAATAACACATCCACTGCTTTCCCCTCATCCACAGACCCAGTTATCTCCTCATAGAAGGCAGTTAGGTTAGTCAGACATGACTTGCCCTTGGTGAATCCATGCTGACTGTTCCTGATCACTTTCCTCTCCTCTAAGTGCTTCAGAATTGATTCCTTGAGGACCTGCTCCATGATTTTTCCAGGGACTGAGGTGAGGCTGACTGCCTGTAGTTCCCCGGATCCTCCTCCTTCCCTTTTTTAAAGATGGGCACTACATTAGCCTTTTTCCAGTCATCTGGGACCTCCCCCGATCGCCATGAGTTTTCAAAGATAATGGCCAATGGCTCTGCAATCACATCCGCCAACTCCTTTAGCA